GGAGTTCAAAGGCATTCGCCTATCTTTCCCTCAATAAACTGATACTGATACCGAAGCGGAAATGCGAGTTGCAGGAAGCAATGGAGAAGGAGCAGATTCAATCGCTGGGACAAGGACTTTGTTCGCTTGACGTTTCGAAATCCGTCGCGAATTCTTCATCAGAGACATTAGCAGAAACCGGTAATTCATACGCAGGAATTCGCAGTAGTCATAGGATACAGTCGCTGTGCTACTGCATACTTACGACAATTGACGGCACCCTCTATCGAGGATAATTGTCCGTTGGTGCGCTAATTGCTTGATAGCCGGTTTGAGGGTCGTGGCCTGCTGAAGTTTGATCATCCGTGTTGAAGTTGAGCGTGATGATTGCTGGGCCATCTGGTCACCTGACGCTGGTATTAGAACATGCGTTCCCCAGTGGCTACTCGCTTTGGCCAAACTGAGCCTCAGCAACGAATATGGGTTGGGCAGGTCGTTGCACTCGTTTATAGACCGGGTGTCATGAAACATGATTCAACCAACTCACGGCTCGCTCGATTGTCACCTCTCGCGGTAGTTTCGGCCTCGTCAAATTTGCGTGTTTAGCCGGGTCTCGTCGAACGAACCGCGACTTGAGAATTGTCGGCATTTTTCCGCACTGCTGCCGCGTGTTCTCGTCTTGAGAAGTCTGCCAATTTCTCCGATGTAGTTGCTTTGTCCGCAACTGCAGCAGATCCTATAGACGACTCCAGATGTTTCTTGCCGTGTCAGTGGGTCGTTTGGGTCTGTTGTCTACCGCCTTATGGTTGCCTCCGGCCTGTGCGCGACTCCATCTCCAAATGTTTCAAGGTGGGGCTGACGGCCTCCGAAATGCTCGCCAAAATTTGGGTCGGTGCGCTTTTGTCGCTCGTTTCGTTTGTGCGTGCACCGGTTCACATCTGCTACTTCTTCCTCTCAATTATTTCAGTATTATTTTATGCCGTCGAGCTTCCTTTCTGAGCCTTGTTTGTGTTGAGTATTGTGTTTTTTTTTACTTAGACAATATGATTTGCGTGATTTCGGTGCTCATCTGTCGTTTTTGTTTTTTCAGACGCGACTCTGCTACGTTTGTTGTCGTCATGAGCACCAGAACTCCGAGGAACCTCCTGCTACCGCCGATTCGGACTACAGACCGTTTTCCTTTGATGACCAACGGCAGGCAACAGCTGCTGATGCTCCCGGTGATTCGTCCGACGGCAGTCCCCACGGTAGCAGCAGCGCCGTGCCAGTCCAGTCCCTACCACCACCATCACAGCGGCGAACCACGGATACTACGGATTTCTGGCAGCATGTTTTTGACTGCATGCTCAGCCGCCATTTGGCCCTGCTGAAGGTAGATTCCGCTAGCACGGAAGTCGTCGCCACCGCCGACGTCTGCGAGGCACCTGATGAGGCTGATGCGGTCACTGAGGAGACGTTGGCAGCGGGTACAGATCAGGAGATGGAGGGTG